GGCGTTCCTCGGGGGTCGGTACTGGGACCGGTGCTGTTTAACATCTTTGTTGGTGACATGGACAGTGGGATTGAGCGCACCCTCAGCAAGTTTGCCGACGACACCAATCTGTGTGGAGCAGTCGACACGCTGGAGGGAAGGGATGCCATCCAGAGGGACCTGGACAGGCTTGAGAGGTGGGCCTGTGCAAACTTCATGAACTTCAACAAGGCCAAGTGCAAAGTCCTGCATGTGGGCCGGGGCCATCCCAAACACAAATACAGGCTGAGTGGAGAATGGATTCAGAGCAGCCCTGCTGAGAAGGACTTGGGGGTGTTGGTGGATGAGAAGCTCAACATGAGCTGGCAATGTGCACTTGCAGCCCAGAAGGACAACCATATCCTGGGCTGCATCAAAAGAAGCGTGGACAGCAGGTCAAGGGAGGTGATTCTGCCCCTCTACTCCACTCTCATGAGACCCCACCTGGAGTACTGCATCCAGATCTGGAGGCACCAACATAAGGACATGGACCTGTTGGAACGGGTCCAGAGGAGGGCCACGCAGATGATCAGAGGGCTGGAGTACCTCTCCTATGAAGACAGGCTGAGAGAGCTGGGGTTGTTCAGCCTGGAGAAGAGAAGGCTCCGGGGAGACCTTATTGTGGCCTTCCAGTACCTAAAGGGGACCTACAGGCAAGATGGGGAGGGACTCTTTTTCAGGGAGTGTAGCAATAGGACGAGGGGTAACAGTTTTAAACTGAAAGAGGGTAGATTTATATTAGATATTAGGAAGAAATTCTTTACTCTAAGGGTGGTGAGATACTGGAACAGGCTGCCCAGAGAGGTTGTGGATGCCTCATCCCTGGAGGTGTTCAAAGCCAGGTTGGATGGGGCTTTGAGTAACCTGGTCTAGTAGTAGGTGCCTCTGCCCATGGCAGGGGGGTTGGAACTAGATGATCTTTGAGGTCCCTTCCAACTCTAACCATTCTATGATTCTATGATGAAATAGTAACTGGAAAGGAAAAGGAGCTGTTTCAGATAACAAAAGCAAACAGGTATAAACTGGCATGGAACTAGAACATTAGAACACTTCTTGCAATTCAAAGAGTAAAGTTCAGGAATAGTTTTCCAAGAAACAATAGGACAAAACCCCAAACAAACTAATTTTAAAACACAGTTTTGCACTCTGATTTGCATGTGATGCAGTCCCATTCAAATGTATCACAGATCAATCTATCTTCTTTCAGCTGCACTGGTTCACATCCTTCAGATTTAATACTTGAATCAGTATAAGGTCAAAATTTGGCTTATACTATAAGAGATACCACCATATTTAACAAAAGATAAAGAGAATATGAATTTCAGTCCTGTTACTATGAAAGGTGATGCTTAACATCAGCATGGTTACTTCAGATAAAACCTAGCATATTATTCTGGCTTCTGATATTGTAAAACCATCATCTCTACTCTCCAGCTATTTGCCATTTCAGGAAGCAATGGAAATGTAAATTGCTTTTTTCTTTAAGACAATTATCTCATACAAAATGGCTATTCGGGGGGGGGGGGGGGGGTTGGGGGGTTTTGTTGGGTTTTTTTATTACTATTTTACTATTCTATTTTTTATTTTACTATTTTTCTATTATGATTAATAAAACCAGGTCATAATCATTTGACAAAACAACAGAACTGACAACATAGAAGAAAATAAGAAATATGAATGACAAAAACCTGCTTCAATACTCTAAATCTATCAGGTTTTGAATTTCTTATTAATTCTTTACTTAGCAAGCAGCAATAGAAAATGTACTAATATTCAGTGGTCAGAGCTCGTCTTCACTCTTGCCAATAAGCTAACATAGCAAAATTTCCTTACTTCTGACCAGTCCATAGTGACCCACTGTGGGGGACAGGACTGATTGTTACACGGCTCTTTTTCAATAGGCCGATGTGTTAAACAGTTGGTATTGTCCAGTGTCTCCTCCTCAGAAGGCCCAATCTTTCTGATACAGAGAACTGTTCTTGAACGCATTCCTCCATCACAGGTCTTACTGCATTCTGACCAATCTCCTATAAACCATCTGGATAGAAAAAGTTAGGAGGCTCAGTTAATGCATTTCAGAAATGGAGTAGATAATTGCACAAACCTAGAATCCAAATAGTTTAAATTACTAAACCTAAACCATTGTTAACAATACATAGGTCTTTTCACTGACCATTTAAATTTATGCCTCACTGCAATCATATCTTCGAATAATAATAATACTTTGTATTTTTCTAGAGCAGCGATTTCCAGCCTAGGCTATAGTAGTTAGAAAGGAGTGTTGAGCCTGACAAAACTGCAGCTATTTAAGTAGATTTGTACATGACTTGTATGAAATTATTCCTCTGAAAGTGGTTTGCAATTGGATATGTTTGGGAATCACTGCTGTAGATTAAAGCACAAGTTAAAAGCCAAGATGCTTGCCTCTCTAGTATCTTTGCAATAAAATAATTTGATCTCAAAATTGGGCTTTCTGAGATTTAATTCTCATCTAATTATGAAACATTTCTAAATTTTTTTATAGAAGGCTATACAGAAATGCAAAATATTCTCATTTATTAGAGTAAATAAAGCAAACACTAGTAAAACATAATTCATCACATAAGAAAATGACCTCAACAAATATTTACAAAATGTAAAGCACTGCATGGTAGCTGCTAGAGGGACCTTCTGAGTGTTTGTGTGTACGTAGTAAAAGTTGAGAGCTGTACAGTATATTTAGATTACTTTGTGATGCCGCAGAGATTAAAGCAGCTGTTAATCTGGCTGTAAAGTAATATTAATTTTTTTCTACTGATGAATGGTTAATGCAGCTCTATTCACTGGAAATATCTCTTCACATTGTAGAGCACATTGGGTCTTCAATATTTCATATGTTGATTAAATACACTCACCCGGATCATCCTTGCAAAGGATGAAGGTGAAGTCTAATATGCTATCACATGCTGCCAACATGCCAAAAATGTCAGGCATGTCATTCACTGTGGATGTTCCTGGAGGTATGCTTGGAGCTGCCTCATAAGATTTGTCATTTTCTGAAGCCTCTGTCAAAAAGATATGCTGCTATCCTTTCTTGTATTACAGAATATGTAATATATTCTAATAGGAACCTAGATCAATGCAGAGATGCAAACAAATATGCCATATTCTGTCATTATTTTCCCAGTGAAAGAGAATTAATTTATGATTATTCACCACCAAACTTATGCTTTTACCACAGTAAGGAGAATTAGAAGCTCTTCACAGCTTTGAGGAGGCTGAAGTATTAATTTTTAGTTGGTACTAAGATTTGCTCAAGTGCATTCTCAGTTACTTTTAATGTTTATACTGTATCTCACATGACAGTACTGTTCATAGGATCCAGAGAGAGTTATCTATATCTTTTCCTGAAATCTGGAACTTTAGGAGTTACTTATTGCAATAACAAACAAAATACTATGAACAAACACAGTCTTTGTTGCTGTTCAGGACCCTCAAGTATAATGTAACTGGCATTCAGTTAGAAGGAGTAACATTTTCCCCACAAGTAAAGTGGAATTGTGTTAATTAAGAAAAGGAAATATTTGGCCACTCTATTTAAAGAGTAAGCCTTACTGGGTGATAAATCTTCCAGCCAAAAGGGTCAAACTTCTTTGGGGAACTATCTCAAAAGATGGTATTTGAACAGCCGCCTTCTAGACTACTTACGGGATCAGGAATAAAGAACACTTCCTTCAGAGTTTGGCACTTTGCATTCACCCTGTGGTGACCATCAGAATGGAGGCAGATGTGGGCTGAACTGCTCTGATATATTCAAGCAGATGCTAATTAATACACACCACCCACTTTCTGAATCTTGAGTTTCACCATGTTCATCAATTTCCCTGCTGTACTGGATGGAAAATCCAGAAGTGGGTTTGTTGGGATTTTTGTTTTTTGGTGGTTTTTTTTTTAAATAAAGTCAGTGAAAAAAAAAAAATTACCTATGTTGGAATAACTATGTTAACACTACTTTTTAAAGTGCTAATTTGTTAATAGTTAAGCCACACAAAGGAAGGGATAGGGATGTGTTTGGTAAAAAGGAACTGACCAAACGTGACCACTTCCCAAGTTCTGCTCTCAGGTATATGGTGTGGGAGTTTAGTTAGTGCACTTATAGCCATGCTAAACAGTGTTATACAAACAGAAAACAATTTCATATCCTTGCAGGATAAGCATATATTTACACATAGACTATGGGGACAATAATTTAGACCTGTTTGTGAGACAGCACATCTACCTTCAAACACACTCAAGGTGAAAGCGGGGTAATGGCTTCACTTCTGTTTACTTTATGTTAAATGAGTATTGTACATGGCACAGGGGGAATAAGTGTAGAAGACATTGCTCTGCCATCCTGCAACCTGTCACTAAGTAGTTGATGCTCTAGGAAGAAACTGGCTTCATGAACACCTGTTGGGTTTTAATGCATTATAGTATTGTCGCATTCCTCCTGGTGTCCTTCATGCTATAGTTTTACAGTTTCTAAGAGACATTTAAAAGAGACCACAGTATTTCTTCACTGTGCAATATCTACACTTAATCAGTATTAATGATTTTCATGCCCAATTAGAATTAGCTACAGATTATCATGAAACTTGTGATTATCATGAGTAAATCAATAAACTGTTTTATTATTTGTCTCAAAATGTAAGAAGGAGCTGTTGTGCATATGCTGAAATTATTTTCTAGTGCAAAATATCACAGCTGTTTCTAAACAGTTTTTTTGTTAAGATTAAGCTATGCTATAGGTCCTTACGAAATTTCATTTTTGAACAAATGAGCTGATATGTTTTTAATTATCTTTTCAATATGTAGCATACAGCTACTTTAAAAATAAAACTAAATAGACTTAACCAAGTATGTATCTAATCCTAAAGGCACACAGCATTACTGTACAACACTGAGAATCCTGGAAAGAAAACTATTATCAGTAAATGGTTTGGTCTACTAAGCAGTTTCTATGTTTACCATTTCTCATCTGAACACTTTAACACAAATTTTAATATACTATACTTAAAAATATGGAAAACATTTACTATGCATTGTAAATATCTATGGGAAAGTTAGTTTCCCCTCACCTCAAGATTCTGTCATTATTGCCTTAAGAATGGCCCCCAGTTCTTTTCTGAGCACTATTCGCCACACCTGATGCTTCCATCATAAGAAACTGCTTTGCTAGTATCTTTTTACTTACAATGTCTGAGTTGCTTTGTGTAGTTTAAACACCACTGTTCCCCAGTCAAATCAGGCCTCCTCTGGGTCGATGTATTTTCCACAACTGATTCCAGAGGAACAAGAAACCATAAACAAATAACAAAACCAAATATCCTGTCTGATAAGACAGGACCCTAATGCTAGATGAGAATTTTATACCACCTTTGGTCAAATGGATTTATTATATATTACAAAGACTTTTCTATCTATGCAAAACAGATGTCCATCTTCGTGATTAATGACTTACTCAGGTGGGCAAGGCTCAGTGTTGCAGGCTCTTTGGTTTTCTGGAGGCTTACTGTCAGGGTCACAGTAATTGTTTTGTACAATGGAGTTGTCATCCAGCCTTTTACACACCACCTCTTGTTTCTGCACACCTTGGGATGAAATGAAACACTATTAATTAATCATTCTTGCTCTTCTAGTTGTTGATTTAAAGTGTATTTCACCTATTGATTATTAATCCTACTATCCCCACTTTAATTGGCTGAATTCTCAAGGTGTGTGAATTCCAATTGACTGGACCACACAAAATCTTTTTCCTTCAATTTTAGGCCACCCCACTGAGAGAGTATTTTAAATTGCTGTTCTTTTCTAAAACAAAGGGAATATATTTATAGATTTACTAACAGATTTTTTAATTTGTATACTGCACAAAATCCATTTTCTGTCTGCCATCCTCTCCCAGTAAAAGACACTTCAATTTCAAAACAAAACATCATGAAATAGAATGTAGTCACACTTCAATGCAGAATTATTGCTTATGTACTCTGGTTTAAAATAAAACAGCAATAATGGGATACAGTGTTGTATTTTTATACGTGTCATCCTATAAACATTTTTTTCATTTAAATAATAGAAGTAATATTCATTCTGAAAGATGCAGTTTGTCTCTGTGCACTCGCATTTTGTCTGGCACTCCCAGCTCCTCTTTTACTGTTAATGATCAACAGGACAGTTCAGAATTGATTATTATTCCCAAAACATAATGTCATATCACTGCCAAGGCAACATGAGGTAACACAATAAGCAGGTTTTCCAATTTTTAAAAAAACAGGATCTAAAGAAAAGCATTAAAGAACCATTGATATGACAACAGTGCAGTTCAGAGTATTGTAAACAGTGCTATACTTGGCCGCCTCTGTTCTTAGAACAAGCTGTATGATGTTTGCTAGCATAAAAAGACTGTGGATCTGCAATTCATATGCACTTATAGAACATGAGTAGTCATAATACTGAAATAATAGGATTATTTGTATGATAAAAGTTGCAAAAAAGCACTAAACCTTTCTTAAAAACAGAAGCAATTATTTAACTTTTTCCAAATTGTGAAATGCATACAAATAAATAGGGATTAAAACATCCTGGCTTCAAATATCTGCCAACTTTACAGCCCTGTCTTGATTTTAAGACAAGCATTTTATAGGAGGTAGATGTGCAGTAATAAATTAATTGTATAAATATGTTTTTCAGACATCGAACACCCACTAAAAACATGAGATTTTCTTTCACCAAACATTTCTAGTTCTTTTGCTCATTTTAAACTAGCTAAACAACTTACCTTGTAATTGTTTTGTTTGTTATTCATTATGGACACAAATCAAATTTGGTATAGAATCCTAAAATGAGACCTATATAGAATTTAGGTATTTAATTCCAATAGTGAGTCAAACCTAGCCTTGAGATACCTTAAGTTTGGTCCACAAAGCATCCTGATTGGCTAGGAACAGAAATTTCCGAGTCTAAGCACAGAGACATGTGAAATGTCTCTATGACATTATGTGCAAAGGACCTGGGGAAAATGGTAACCTCCTTTTTCTCAAGTCTTGAGGATGTCATGCAGTCCCCCATGAGGCTGGAGATCCAGAAATAGTAGGTATGATCCCTTCTCAACCCTGAGGGGATTTCTACTTCCCATGAGCATACACCAACTTCTGTGACTTAGTGATTATTTTAGCTAAGGTGTCAAGACTGTGGTTTCTAGTCTGTAGATTATTTCTAGATTTTATTCAATTGCAGTCTGATGTAAAATGTCTAAGCCATCTTGAGAGCAGGGATGAAAATCCATACCTGCCTGTGCTAGATGAATGTCTTATTTAACAGATTAAGCCCCTTTCTTGTCTTTCTGCCATTGGCCCCATGAATCTTGCATCCCTGGTTGCACTGTGGCCCAGAATGCTTATTAAAAAAAATCTTCCCTTTCCTTATCCCTCTTAGACTCCTCAACTATTCTATGGCACACAGAGTACTCTTCTGGAGATGCACTCCCATTTGAAATTTCTTCAGTCTGATATAGGGAATTGCTATTTAATAACTGCCATGGCATCCTGCAAAATATGGGTATTATCCCTTACATAAAAATATAGCCTTGTTAATATTTCAGGAAAACCCAGCAGTCTGGATCCTAAGCACATAAAAATGTTCCATGTGGGGCCTCAACTCAAATGTGCATGCTCCTGACAAGCAGGGTAGGAGTTAGATTCATCACTCAACATACTGTTTCTTACAGGCTGCCTGTTTATCAGGTGACAACTTTGTATCAACCCTCAAAATCACCTGCCTCCTCACCTTACCTCAAAATCATTTACTATGTTGAGACCAAAGATGCCTAATGCTGAAGTCTTCACTCTACTGCAGTACCTAAATCTCAGCTTTGCTGCTGGGATATCCCTTTTTTGATTACGGCTACATATAACCTTCCCAAAGCAGGCACTTTAAATCAGGTTGTAAATCATTTCACATGTCTGACATCTCAGGTTATCCATAAACATCACAATAATTTTAAAGTCAGCTTTATTTTATGAAATATGAGATGTCTTACACATGAGCCAGGTAAACCAATCAGATTCTTCCATTTGCTCTTTCTACATGTATCTGGATGCCACAACATCAGACAACAGTAGGTACCACTAAACAGCACAGAAGGCTGCCAGACTGTTTACCAAGTATATCCTACACACACAAATCTACATGAACAAGCTAAAAAGAAAATACCATTTTGAACATTATTCAACCTCCACTTTTTTTTGCTATATTTCAATTTATGTGCTTTACATGTTGGAAAAAAATCATTTTGCACAACCCTTCTGTGCATCTGTTCACACTTGAGTTTATTTCATCCACAATACAAACTGTGCCCAGTACTCCAGAGGGATTTTACTAGTGCCTTATCCAGTGTCATTAATACTTTTAAAGAAATACATCCTAAAATCAAATCTGCCTTTATCGTGACTACAACATATCCCAGTCTTCCCCATGTCTCCTAGCACTGCATTATCAGCAAATTTCATCAGAGCTTTCTACTTTTTATGCTACCATTAGAACAAGAAAAACTGAAGTCTGATGAGTCACGTGAAAGGTCTTTAAGAAGCCCACTAGGCTCACTGCCTTTTGGCCCAGTGATTTACATTTTAAGCATGCCTCTTGTCTACTAATATTTTCTAATTCTTTATTAAATGTAGGTGACCACAAAAGTCTTAGGAAAGTCTAGATGAATTAATCTACTACATTTCCTTGGTCTAGAAAATGAGTTATATGTTAAAATATATCTAGCTAGTCAAGCGTGACCTATCATGTTACACTTTACCTCATTTGTCATGTATTTCTAGATCTTTAGTTATCTTCAAAATTTCAAATCAGTTAGCACTTCAATGTTGTTGTTATATATATTTATATATATATACACACACACACAGAGTGAGAGATTATTTTCTTCAGTTCTTTACTCCTTTGTACTATTTTAGTAGAGGAAAGACATATCAATTGCAGCATGAAAGAGAGAGAAAAATGTTTACCAGATTAGGCTCTCCTTTATAATCTCTTCCTTTCTTTCTTGACAAATAAGTGGAAGATCTAAATATTTGAGAAGCTGTGACAAGATGATTCACTTTAAATTCTATAATCTATGTAAGCACTGTCAACAGATGAGAATAATTAAAATCAGATCTGACAACCCGAATAGGAGTATTTCTTTTGCAATTTTCTACTCAAACTTCACCATGATGAGAAATAATATTTAAAAGGAGTAGCCAAACAGCAATGCTAGTAACATGGTGCTGCTAGTTGACATAGAATTTATGTTCAGCTCTGATGAATTATCATTTATCCTTTCTATCACAAGCTGCAAATTGCTTAAAAAAATTATACACACTTTATAATTAAGCATTTTAATGATGCATACCATTCTCTCAAATATATTTATGGGATAGCATAGATATTAATGTTATGTTTTCACTAAATTTCCTACTGGCATCAGACACATTTCCTTCCAGGGTTTGGCTAAAAATTGGCAGCTCCAGTAAATTCATTTCTGAGGAGCTTATGTAATAAGAAAGTATTCTGAAGTACTATGAACACAAAGTAACATTGTGCTCAGTTTTCAAAAAAATTTAAACCAGCCATGTTATTTATTGAATGCTAGTCAGGTAGCATATCACCCCTAAGAAAGCATTCACCACCATTCACTCACACAGTGAAGAATCTTTAACCCATGCCAGGCAGATATGTTAATCCAGTTTTAAAATGTTATGCAGCATCTTACCACACAGTATGTGATTTCTGATACAAGGAACATAAGTATGGGTTAAGGAAACTTTACATCATTACTGTCTAATTACAGTGTTATTTAAAATAACATTTCAGAAACAAAATTCAGATTCTAACTTTAAATCAAGAAAAAGAAATGGAAAAGTCTGGAAGTGCAGTTTTTACCCAGACAACAGCTACAACCTAGTTAAGCCCCGTGGGCATTGAAAAAAATCTTTTTAAATTATCAACTCTTCTATGAGTATATGATCTCTCTTTAAGTAATCTAAAAAGCACAGTTAAACAAGTTTGTTTAAACTCTTGGGGGAATAATTACAAGCAGTTATACAGAAACACTCTGCTTTCAAATCTACAGATCTACAGTTGATAATAAAGACATAAAATGTCCTCATGACTGATCAATGCAATTCTAATAGAAAACAAAACTCCAGTGGTTTAGTGACCATATTCTCCAGAGAACTGAGTTGTTTTGCAGATTTCAATTCACAAACAATCTGCATGACTTTCAGTAGCGAAATTTTAAATTACATGAAGCACATTTTATTCTTAAACTAAAATGGCAGGCATTTAAATGCTATATCTATCTTTAAAAGCAGTCCACAAAAAAATGTGGTTTGCGATTGCAACAGTTGATTATAAAGATGGCAGTACCAATACATAGTGAATCTTTCATCACTAAAACTAATGCATGCTGGTTAATCCAGACATACTTTCTGAGCTCACTCATCAGATCTCAAGATCTCCTCTGCTCTGGTGAGACCCCACCTGGAGTACTGCATCCAGCTCTGGAGGCACCAACATAAGAAGGACATGGACCTTTTGGAGCGGGTCCAGACGAGGGCCACAAAAATGATCAGAGGGATGGAACACCTCTCCTATGAAGACAGGCTGAGAGAGTTGGGGTTGTTCAGCCTAAAGAAGAGAAGGCTCCGGGGAGACCTTATTGCAGCCTTTCAGTGCTTAAAGGGGGCCTACAGGAAAGATGGGGACAGACTTTTTAGCAGGGCATGTTGCGATCGGACAAGGGGCAATGGTTTTAAACTAAAAGAGGGAAGATTTAGACTAGATATAAGGAAGAAATTTTTTACAATGAGGGTGGTGAAACACTGGAACAGGTTGCCCAGAGAGGTGGTAGATGCCCCATCCCTGGAAACTCAAGGTCAGGTTGGACGGGGCTCTGAGCAACCTGATCTAGTTGATGATGTCCCTGCTCATTGCAGGGGAGGTTGGACTAGATGACCTTAAAGGTCCCTTCCAACCCCAACTATTCTATGTTCATCACAGAGCCAAACTTACATTTTCCTTGATGAGGACAAGTATGTTTTATTTGTGTAAAGACAGTTTCATAATTCATCTGAGAGCATGAAAGAAAAACATAGTAGGCAACACTCTACAAGAGTGATGAGCAGCAAAGGAAACTGGAAAGCAATCAATTTACTTATAATAATATACTGACTGAATATTTCATAAAAAAACATGAATATGTAAGATATTTGACTCATCTGGAGATGAACTCTAATAGAATGAATAAAATCAAAAGCGATGCTTAGGGTACCTGGTAAATTCCAGATAATAAATGCTGTCATTTGTTGCCATTTATTGCTAGAATTCTATTAAGCATGGAAGAAAATAAAAAAAAAAAAGAGAGCATGCACTTATTGGAGTTTATTGTCAATGTATACAAAAGTAAAAATACACAGAAGGATTTTTTTCCTTTATTGGATTTTTTTAAACAATACCACCATTCTTATTAAGAATACTTATGGATCTAGATGAAGTCATATACTTGCCCTTGGAAACCTACAAGATATAATATAATGAAAGACAGGCACAAGAGTAAATAAACTGCAATTTTGTGATCTGTAAGTGATATATATCACCCTTTTCTGTTTTAGCACTTTCTTCTCTTTCCAGCCTTCGTTTCCTATTTCTATGTATTCTAGTTTCCCCTTTCTTAGATTTTTCTCATTAAATAATTAATTAATCAGGTCCTTAAAAAAATCTTCTGTTGTTGACATCATTTTTTTCTGAATTCCAGCAACCTGTTCATCCATCCATCCATCCCTTCCAAATTCCCTGTGTTCTTTCCTCTCCCACTCTTCTCTGATAAACTCCCACTGTACATTCTGGTATTCTCTGGCATTGTTTTGCTGTAGTCTTGCCCAAGTCTGCCACCAGCTATAAAGATCTATACAAGATAGTAACAAACTTTCCTTCCAAAAACTCTTGACTCGGAGTAGAACACTTATCAGTGAACTTTCAGGAAAGGGAATTAATATGGAGAATACATGTAGCTCAGTTTTACATAATGTTCCCAGAGAGGAAAGACTAGCCCAGATAATATAAATCTGTATTTTAAAGAAAAGTTTTTCAATATAGAAAATATTTGTTCTAGTATACAAAAAGAAAAGCTGTAATTTTGGATTTCCAAGCCTAAGAACAGATACTAAGAGACAGATATTAAAAATGAATGAAATTATATTCTCATCCCACATATGAGTACATGAATCCAAGAATAGAGTTGTCTTTTACCAGGCAAGCTCTTTTAACTACCTGGCAAATCTGAAGAACTTATTTTTAGAAAAAATCAAGAAAATACCAAAATAAAACTCAGATTTTGGAGACATGGTTTCTGCTTAATTCACTCTACAAGATACGATGCTCACTTGCAGAGGAACTATGGAATATTTTGTTCTTTTCTCCTTTAACATGAAGGACACTACTAAATACACAATCTACACTATTAAATACACAAGGAGTTGAATGCACCATTAGCAAGTTTGCTGATGATTCTAAACTGGGAGGTGCTGTTGACTCTTTTGAGGGACAAGAGGCCTTGCAGAAGGATCTAGGCAGATTGGAGCATTGGGCTATGATTAATGGGATGAAATTTAACAAGTCGAAACACCAGATCCTGCACCTAGGACAGAGTAACATCGGGCACAAGTATAAATTGGGAGAGGAGTGGCTGGAGAGCAGCCCTTGCAGAAAGGGATCTGGGGGTGCTGGTTGACAGCAGGCTCAATATGAGTCAGCAATGTGCTCTTGGCAGCCAAGAGGGCAAATCGCGTCCTGGGGTGCATTAGACAGTATAACCAGCCAGTCAAAAGAGGGGATTATCCCACTGTATTCAGCATTGGTGCAGCCTCACCTTGAATACTGTGTGCAGTTCTGGGCCCTACAATTTAAGAAGGATGTTAAGGTCCTTGAATGTATCCAGAGGTGGGCAACAAAGCTGGTAAAAGAGCTGGAAGGAATGTCTTATGAGGAGCAGCTAAAGACTCTGGATTTGTCTAGTTTGGAGAAAAGGAGGCTGCAGGGTGACCTCATTGCTCTCTACAGCTTCCTGAGGAGGGCAAATGGAGGGGGAGATTTCTTCTCCCGGGTATCCACTGACAGGATGCGTGGGAATGGTTCAAAGCTGCCACAGGGGAAGTTTAGACTGGACATTAGGAAGCATTTCTTTACTGAGAGGGTGGTCAAACACTGGAAGAGGCTTCCTAGAGAGGTGGTCAATGCCCCAAAGCTGTCAGTGTTTAAGAGGCGTTTGGACAATGCCCTTAAATAACATGCTTTAACTTTTGGTTATCCCTGAATTGGTCAGGAAGTTGGACTAGATGATCATTGTAGATTTAGTGGATCATAGTGGATTTAGAATTGTGTTTTCTTTTGGCATATGGCAAAAGGTGCTTCATAAACTAGGGGGAATAGCAGGTACTCATATGGAGAAAGCAGCTACAGTTTTTAACATGAATCATAGCTAAATGAAACATTTATTCCCTGAGCACAGAGCTCATTAAAAATAAGTGACCATAGTATATCCTCATACTAAGCTGAAAGGAGAGAAAAGTGCCTGGTTTAGCCACCATAAGTTACTGAAGAAAATCTTTCCCTCCCCCTGCAAAGGTTCAAACGAATAATAAATGTATGCAGTTATCACGGATTCACAAATCTTCCCTTAAAAGTTAATTGATTAATGTAAAAAATGCTCTTATCTAGACAACTGCCTACTCCTTCAGAGCCAATTATTTTTTCTGTTGTATACATTCAAATCTTTGAAGTGACAATGGCCTGCATGACAGAAGATCCATGGCTAAAATCTTGTCTCTACCTAAATCAAGGGGAGTTTTCCCATGACTTTAAAAATATCATTAACTCATTGCCATCATAAAAATAGGATTTGGCAGTACTTGTAAGGTTCTGATACTTGGAACTGTCTTTTGCTATGAGATTTTTTAAAACGTTCATTTTCCTACCAGACTTACCATTGTTAAAATAGTAGTTAAAAAAGCAATCTGTCACTCATTTGATTACAGGAATCCAACAAATGAACAATAAAAATATTGGGGAAAGTTGGCACTTTCCTCTATTTCGTTTCAAGACTTTCTCTATTTAGCTTCACAGAATAGAATTTGTGCTGTCATTTGTATCTTGCATATGGCTAAGCAAACTGCTGTATTTAAACAGCAAACAACTAGTAACAGCCACAGCAGGATCGAGCAGAAAGATGTCACGATGATTCTAAACATGAATACTTCCAGTAGCCGTAAAAAAAGGAAAAGGACAAATATTTGGTCCAAAGGTTTTTTAAAAAATATGGTGTCTTCTTCTTGCTATGGGCAAGTACAGAAAACTGAAATTCTGAGGCAGATTTAAAGCTCTCTCCCATATCTTCTGAAACTGAGGTATGTTGGGGAGATGATGCATTCAGTCTCCAGAGAGAAGAAAGATACTGTTCACACAGCACTTCTACTCACCAGTCCATGCAGCAGCAATGGTGTTGGCTTTGAAGGAAGCCAACTGTCCTGCTCTCCCAGCCAGAGGTAAAGAATTGCATTGGTGGCCACTAGAGGGAGGATTAGGAATATAGTAAATTGTGGGCAAAGACACCCATGATGAATCATATGGGACAACCTACAAATCCCCCACTGCTGCCAATAGGCAACAATTGTCAGATACTGCTATGGGCTGGGAAGTATAACTGAGTTGTTATCTGCTACAGAGGAGCTGCTAGTATGTATCCTAAACTTTGGTGGCTGGAGGATAGGAGGGCTGACTAGGATCTTGTGAAGCATACCTACAAACACACAAAGACACATCCCTTTATTTACAGTTGACTTATTTGCCTTCTGTTTTTTAATCTCCTTACTTAAAACTTCTGATGTCCTTTATCAAGAAAGCTCCTGTGAAAAGCAAACATCCCAGCTTCAACAGAATCTCAGAAGCATCAGCAGACAGAGACACTGTGCCAAGATACACTGTATTTAACAAAAAGATCTGAACATATTAAATGCACTTGAAAACAACAAAATCCATTGTGATAAAGTAAATGTTCTTTCACTAAATTAAGGTTTGAGGCATGTCTGAAAGAAATGTTTTCAATTAGTTACCTAATAATTCTGTAGTAAACGGTATCTTGCAATTCAGTTTACCCCAAAGCTTGACTGCCTGGTGTCTTACCTCCAGCACAAGTAGCAGAACATTCTGACCAAGGCAGATGATTCCATGCAAAGCCAACTTCATTATCTCCACTGCCAGTGCGAGAGATGGGAACACTGAATTTATACCTTATACCCAAATTTTGTTCCTGTAGCAGAATCTGTAGTTGAAAACAACTGGTTATACCATTAAAACAGGCAAGCAGAGAGCAACTACAGTGACATTTAATCTAGGTATGTGTTATGTCCCATGGAAGGGAAAAAAGTAATAAAGGAAGCCATAGTAGTTCTTTTAGGTATTCCCAAAAGAATCTGAATTAACTTTTAAAACATATATAAAAGAAAAATATTATTGTCTGAGGTGAGCTTTGTCTTTTTTCCCCTTGACACAACTTTATAACTTCTGTAAGTTCTTTATTCTTGACATAATTCTTCTAAAAAGCCAGTTTTCATAAAAGTAATGTCTTAATGGAAGTTAATTCGGTAGCTGAATAATTATGTGAGGTCAAAGTTGGTTAAGGACATTACTGTGCAAACATGCAGCAGTCCTCACTGAAGTCTTGTGAGATTATGAACCAATTATGAACCTAGCTCTGCCCTTGCTTATACTTCTAGTGACTATAATAGTAGTAATAATAGTAACAGCAACAGACTGTTGCTGAGGTCATTGTTTTCCTAATGCAATAGCCAACAGCGTGAGCTTGGTGGAATCTCACCTGTGGTTCCTTTAGAGGAAGATCAAAACTCTCGCTGCAGCTATACCACTGCAAGTGATACAGATGGAAGTGCAGCAATCACTATGAGTTTTTGTCTATCCTCATTGTTGAACTGCACTTCCACATACCACCTGTCCAACAGTAGTCTTTGATTCTCTACCTTTTTCTTTCTGTTACTAATAATATATATCATGTTAAGATGCAGCAATCTGACACATCTTAGAGCTATTTCTCATCCCCTTCTACATTCTGTGATATTTTGCAGAGGCATATCTGCCTATCTCCATTGGACAAAAGAGCAGAGAACTTTCAGTAAGAAAGTCAGTGGCGCTGACTGAATGAGAAAAGGCACTATTAATCATTATGTAACTCATTCTATATGAACTCTAGCTTATCCACAGCTACAGCAGAAAAAAACAGAATTTGGGTGTTTGAAAATGTTGCCTAAAATGTGACTATCATTCTATATACAAAAATACCCTGTTTGGCTCAAGCAATCCCTGAACTGCAAATCTGGCAGCTGATAGAATATACTGGGCATGTATCACCCTATTCTTATACTCCTCCTCAACACAGTAGAGCAACAGTAGGCTCACTATCGCCTACCGTCAGTGACAGGGTACCAGGACCCTGGTCACATCTTCTGTTACATTCTCAGATTTTGTACAATCTATTCAGAGAAATGTATGTCACAGTAACATACTTTAATACAGGTCAAATCATGATACGCTTGCTGTGGTAAAAGTATACTTCACACTCAGGCCAGGCTTAAAACCACCGACATCCACAGAACTGTCAGAAACTGTCATACTATATCTTAACACCTTCATGTATCAGCAGTATGCAGAGATATATTATACGCCCCATTTACAATTTTTTGCTACCATTATTCCAAAGCACATTTAACACAGATGGGGCATTTTCTGTGAGATTTCCTGGGGCTCTTCTGACTTTATCCCTTTTTCATCACAATGTTTGCCTGTCAATTTTGAAAGATAAGCAAGCTGTGTTAAAAAGTTGTGTCCCAGCTAGTCCCAGCTAGGCAAGATGTACACTCTTTGTAAACACAACCTATTTTGATTTCATTCATGGCCTTGTCTTTCCTAAGAACATAAATATATATTTCAAATTTCAGAAATATATTAATTATAACTTTACCATGACTATGAGATTTTCTGAAGTAGGGCCTAGTGCTTCCAAAGACTCTGGTTCATCTGTTGGCCTCTTGTAATGGAAAGCTGTTCCAGCAACATCAAACTTTCTTGGCCAGTCAATAGTCCAGGCACCATTAATATAGTAGTCATCCTCTTCAGATTTTAAAGCTTAAAAAAAAATACAAGCCACCTAAAATTTGAAAGCAGCATTTATAATGGAGAAGCCATTGCAAATTAAACTACTAATCTGTTAGAAGTATGTGAGCTTCAGAGCAACATCACTGTTTTTTCAAGCAATATAAAACCTTTTCTTTAGCCCTAGTCAAAATATGAGCCCACATGCAATGTATGCTGTTCTACTTAAGATATATGTAGGTCTCAAATGTTTAATCAATTATCAATCTAATCTTTAGATTAAGATGTTGAGGCATGGGATAGGTATCTCAGATAATGTGCAGAGGAAAAAAAAGAGAAAGAACACCGAGTCTGACATCTGGTCCCAATCAGCTCTTGCTTTGTTGTCTTTGTCCACCTTTTTTTTTCCCCCTTCTTAAAGCATAAATCCGAGACATTTCTACTACAAAACCAAATACTAGCTATTTAAGCTGCCAAGATATTTTATTATACCTAATTTACAGCCTTAAACCATAAAAGTACTGTAGACAACACATAAATTTCTTAGCTAACCAACCAATTAGGCTAGACAAGCAGATATTATTCAGGGACTTGTATTTTATTTTTTATCAATAATATCAGATTAAGTTTCTAAATAAGAAATGGACTTTGTATCTTAAGGTGAATATTCTGTTAATTCAACATTGACTTCTTGACTTAAGGTGAAGATTACCAAGTTATTCAGCATTCAATGTTTACTTTAAATAAAACATGTTCTTAAAGGCAAAATGATAGTTGGAAATACACGATCAAACAGCTGTGTCATTTTTTGTTGAGACAAATCACTGACTTTACTAGATAGGGAATTCACAAACTCACATCACAATCATAAGGAATAAGACAACTTAGGATCAAGATTTATTCTCCGCTACATCTGTGTGGACAGATGGATACCTTAAACAGGGAAAATGTCTGAATGATGCTCAAATTTTCTAAAAGAGACGAGAGAGCATTCATATGAACAGGAGATAGTTGAGAGGCAGTAACGTTCTGTTGGTGACAGCCATATTCAGCAGGGATTAGTAAACATTTTCAACAGAGCCATAAGGTCTGTAAAGGAATGTCTTTCCATAGCATAAATCTTCTTCCATTGACTTCCCTGGATTTACTCTGGAAACACACATGTGCTTTGAGTGGAGAAACTAGCTCTGACACATTCACTTATCTGGAATTCTCAAAGTAATTCAGATTCCTTATTGTCTATATAGGTTTTGTAGTACAAGGAGATAGTAGAAAAAGTGAGTATAGGAGAACAAGACAAATTGCAAGCAGCACTGTACTAAAAAAAAAGGAACAGTACTTCCACTATTTATCTATTTTAAGCATGTATATGAAATAACTATGTTACAGCTGAACAACAGTGTTTTTTTATTAGTGGTCTTATTTCCACATAGCAAAAATTTCTATCCATCCTGATTTCACAAAATCTAGCTTAATTAATAGAGGGTCACAGAGTGTCCCAAAGCCACCAAAGGCATATTACAGTTTCTTACTGTACCACTGAGTCCCAAACATTTTCTCATCAGTATGTCTAGTATCTACTAAGAGCAAATAATTAAGTGAATTCTTTACTTATATTATTTGACACATATGAACAACAAACGAGACATATAAATGAACGCAGGAGAACAAATGTTCTCATACATTTTTTACATAATTAATCATTCTGAAATTATATGCTATCAATTGTATATATACCATATACACTTAAACTAATGTATACCCAGAAGCAGATCATTTTTTACCTGTCTGAATGCCAAGGAAAAATGTATTTGCATTCTGTAAATAGATTTACCTTATGTCAGTTGTTATGCATAGGTGAAGGCCACACAGCTGTGAATAGCATTCCAATAATATAATTACATGACAATGATGAAGCAGTGGCATAATGCTATTAGCATATGAGACAGAAGAAACAAGTTTATGTCCTAATCAAATTATGAGAACTTGAGAATGCAGGAGGCCCACTGGAAATTAACACACAACACCCTGTTGCATAAGGGGCATATAAGGAAAGATGTCACCTAGGATCAATCCATTTAAGGGAAGATAACAACATTACTAAACATACATTTTTTTTCAGCAGCTCTGAAAACAGGCAATTTTGATGTTGCTGGGTTATTGTTTTGACAGATCAGTTGAAAATACTGAATTATTTATGCAGCTGCAGAAACATGCTTTTGCTGTCAGAACACTAGGAGCTATATTGGTGCAGAAATGATCAGCCAGAGACAGGGGGAGGGAGGACAGGTGCTGATCAAGCTAACTGAAGATGCCAAACATCTAACTGCAGCCTAAATTTGAGGCCACGGCTTGCAAAAGAACTGGATCTTAGTGTAAGGAACTGTGGGATGTTTGTTAGTTAGTTTGAAAGCCTTCTAACTGAAAGGAACAAATAAGAAACCTCAAAGCCAGTGTGAGGAGCTACAGAGGAAGAGGGGTTTATTTTTTCCTTTTCTGTATATTTCCAAATGGAAAAATTGATTTTTTAGACTATGGCCACATACATATTTGGCAGCAGTACACATAAAACAAAATATGTGTAAATGGTTATTTTCAGATGAATCAGTTCTATAATCTGGTTCATGGTGTAGCCACACAAACAGTTGTCCTTAAACAGAGGGAACTCCATAAAGACAGGGAAGGAGCTGTGAAGTATTTAAGTAACAGAAATGAACAGAAATGAACAGAAATGAACAGAAATGAACAGAAATGAACAGAAATGAACAGAAATGAACAGAAATGAACAGAAATGAACAGAAAATTGGTTCTGTTTTACCTCAAACCAGGACAATTTTATACAGATGGTACTGATCTAAATGCTTTGCCAGATCACTTTCATAGAATCATCTAGGTTGGAAGGGATCTTTAAGATCATCAAGTCCAACTATCAACCTAATACTGCCTAAACCACCACTAAACCATGCCCCTAAGCACCACGTCTACCCATCTTTTAAATACCTTCCACATGAACTGCTGCAGCACTCTCTGACTGACACACCATACTCTGGTCACAGCACTCCCTAGGGCTGCCTTTTATGGGAGTGGGGTGGGTGCCGTTACTGCTGGCCCCGCCCCCTCCTCGTCAGCAACCCTCGTGCGAGCTGCTGGCTCCCGCGGGCTGCCTGTACTCTCCCAGCTTTTCCTCGTCTACGGAAAGCTCAGAAATCCCTTTTTGCCGTGAACCCTGCTCCCTTGCAGATGTACCTGCACTGGAGCTGTCCCTCGGTGAGTGGGACTTTCCTCTGCTTATAAATTAGAGGAATAACAAACTTAATTGTACTAGCTAAGAATATCTTCTTTATTCTGGTTTTCAGCTACCCATGGAATCAGAAACATAATATGAATCTGAGTATTAAATATAATGACACTAATATTGGTGTAGATTTCAATGTTACAAAATGCCCTTTTGACAATATGGTTCTTGGCAGAAAATGACCATGATAGGATGCATTGTATGCCTCTACCACCACCTCTCTTTGAAATGTTAATATAGGATATATGAGCAACCTTACCCGCAGTATATTTTGACATAGGGGAGGGGCCAGTGGAGCGTGATGCTGAAAGAATAATAAGCACTTTATTGCTGGAGTAGTGGTGTCATTATTTCTGGAGAATGGAGGGAGATTGATAATCTGCTGAATTACAGGAGGGTGGGGGCAGGCAGAAAGTAGGCATCCAACAGTAAAAGGTATAATATATATAATAAATTTAGGAATTAATGTACCTAGGAGAATAACTGCCCTTCAAACTCACACTTACAGGCATCATATGTAAATCAAGTTACAGAGACTTTCAGAAATGCATGTTGTCTTGAATGTGACGAATCCAGACTTGTACACATCAGTATTAAAAAAAAAACACACAACCAAACAGAAAGCAAATTTAACACAGTCTTTAAAGAAAGGGATGATAATCTGGGAATTTGAATTTAATTCTGTGCTTTACCACAAGCTTCCTGAATGATCTCAATTAAGCACCTAGTTTTTCTGCACCTCATTTTCCTCATCTATAAAACAGAGATAGCATTAAGTATCTACAACACAGCAACACAGAAACACTGTGGAATACATAGAATATATTAAATTGCCTTAAGATAAGGAGACATTATTGTTAGCATTTAAGTAACCATGGCTGTTGATGAATAATCATTCCAAGAATAAAACAGTGGTTTAAAACAGTACGATCCACCAAGATCAGAGACTTCCACAGGTGGAAGATGTAACCTCAGAGTGGGACAGTATATCATTTGAGTGTTCCTCATTCACTTCAGCTCATCTGACATTAGAACTACAGTGAAGTTGACCTGATTTTGCACTGAGTGGACAAGGAGGAATCACATGATGTATTTAATTAGCTCCACTCAGGAGAATACATCCTAACCAACCACTGCAGCTGTCTGACTGCAACCTAATATTAACAGCTACTGTTCCCTCTGCTGCTTCTACTATGTGTATGGTTTGGCCAAACCAGAAAATGTAACTTCAAATCATATCATAAACTCTAACTTAATAACAGTCTGCTATTTAAACCATGCTCTTACCAATGTAGTTCTTTGACATTGCCACTTCTCTTATCTCAATGTGTACAGAACCTCTTGGAATTTGAATCACTTCCATATAGCCTATAAGATAAAGATAAATTTTAATTTTTGTTGCTTATCTTAAACAATATTAGTTGGGGACGGACCCAGACGCAGACCAATATGATCAATGCTGAAGCCACTTTATTAAAATACTTAAGCCATTATATACTTTTTACTACAACGTGGGCTAGCTCTGCGGCTTGTGCTCATTGGTTTCTAGCCTTATACACACAAACTATTATTGGTTAAATGCAGCTGTAACTTATTATCTACACTTTGTTACTATTTCTGCCAAGTCAGTCTTTTAATTAATACACATTCTGCATCTGTTGGGGAGTAGCAGTAGTTTCAGTGTCAGTGCATGATTTCCTCCTTCATGTTGACCTTAAGCACATGTCCATTGTTTTCCAAGAAGTTTCCCACAATTAGTCATAAAACTAACCATTAATAAATTACTTACTAATAAAAATTAGTAAGAGATATGGGATTCAAATATACTTCAACATTTTCTTTCATGTGATATAGTGGAAAACTCTAAATTTCAGACACAAATTTGAAAGTGATAGCAAGAATTTACCATGTAGTCAGGAATTCCTTTTTTAAAATGCTAATAAAGTCTTTTCAACAGTGTATCACAAGTAATTAATGTATTGTCCTGGTTTGAGCGACACAGGACTAATTTCTCTTCTAATACTTGAGGGCACTTGACCCAAGCTGGCCAACAGGATTATTTCATACCATCAACGTCACATTCACTATAAATTAGAAAGTTTGCTGCAAAGTTCTCTCTCTCCCTTGATGGCTGCCACCCTGAGAACTTTGTGCCCTGGTGCCAGACTCCTGAGGCCTTCCCCTCCCTAAGCTATAGCGCTCTCAGTGTCCAACATTTCCTGTCTACTGCTGGGAGTGCACAGCTTCCTACTGATAGAATTGGCTGAGTATAATCTTTCATATTCTGTATTAGTGTCAGGATCAATGTTAGTTCTTTAGTGCTGTTAATGTTAATTATCTAATCTTATTCTATTAAATCTGTTTATACTTCAGCTCCCAGGTTTCCTTGTTTTTCCCGATTCCCCTTCCTGGGTGGGGAGGGGTCATCGGGTGATAGAATGATTGTCTAAACGACAACAAATTGTTATGGGTCTCTCAAACCATAACATGTAGAAAATGATCATAGGATAATTCAGGCTGGAAAGGACCTCAGATAGTCATTTAGTCTAACTTCCTGCTACAAGCAGGGTCAGCTAGGAGATCAGACCAAGTTACTCAGTGCTTTATCCAGCTGGGTCGTGAAAACCTCCAAAGATGGAAACTGTAATACCTTTCTTGGCAACCTGATCCACTGCTGGACTGTCCTTCTGGGGAAAAAGTTTTTCCTTCCATTTGGTCAACACCTGCCTTGTTTCAATTTATAGCCATTCTCTCTCCTCCCACTGCGTACCCACCACTGTGAACAGTCTGGCTCTGTCTTCTCCATAATCTCCTCCTCATAGGTATTAGAAGGTTGATACTATGTCCCCGCAAACCTTCTCTTCTCCAGGCTAAATAAGCCCAGTTCCCCTTGCCTCTCCTCACAGAGGGGCAAGTGCACCAGCTCCCCATAGTCTTAATGGCCCCTCACTGAACTGAACTCACTCCAGTGAATCAATCCTTTTCCTGTATTTGGGGGCCCAAAACTGATAACACTAAGATTGCAACACTAATATTGTAGTTTTTTGAGACAAACTTTCAACTAATTGCCCATACACACTTCCTGAGTTCTTAATAACATGAACTTAAGAGACATTTCTGGATTCTTTCTATTCTAAAATTTCATGTATGATGAAATATCAGATTCTACTATATGTATTAAAATCATACACAAAATTACTTTTCCCGTACAGCCATAAGTAATGAATTAAAAAAACCCCACCCACTTCTTGTTAAGTGCATTAAAGACCATGAGAACTAAGTAATCAGTAATGAAACATATTTTTGTATTTGACATAACTCCAAACTAATACAGAAAAAGGAAACAAAGAGGCAAAAGGAGCCAAAGTGAAATGACCAGCCGCAATGCCATGCTGGAAGTCAGTGCAGTACTGTTATTTGCTAAACAGTCATCTAAATGCATTGTGCAACAAAATAGATGTATATGTGCGTACCTCCTCTGGGCAATGAATCATTGAAGAAACCTTCAATGTCTTCACATGTACTCCCATCTCCTCCACAAACACGGCATCTATCTTCCTTAGCATCAGACCCCAAAATGTTATCACAGCCTACATGCTGAGAACAGATAACAACAAATATTTTAACAGGATGATGGTTTCTTGCACCATTGTCTTCATAGTTTTTTGAAGTGTTTCTCTCAAGTTTGAGATCTCCAGTTCTTTTTATCTACTCTGTTTTTGAAAGCTATTACTATAAGTGGGTTTTCGCTTCCCAGAGGAAGAAAATAAAAAAGTAGAACAATCCAAATTTTGGGTTGTTACCAAATCTTCATTAATAAATAGTTTGTATTTCTACTGTGACTTTCAGGAAGGGATTTCACAGCATTTTACAAACAATGTAATTATTACAGTCATCAATAAATAATTAGTAACATTTTTATTTAATATCACAACAGCTAATTGTGTTCCATCTATATTGCTTTGTTAAAGGAAACATTTGATGTGTGTTCCCTAAACATTTATGCAGCATAAATAGTATTATTGTTCCCAAAGGTATTTACAGCTTCATAGACCATCTTTCCACATCCTCCAGGCAAAACTTGCAATTATTTTTATAAGGTTGAATGTAAAGTGTAAATCACTGTAAGAATGAATGCAGAATGAAACTTAGTGAAAGGCTGAATTACATACTGTATTAGGTAGGATTCAAAAGCCTTTGGAAAAAAGAGAGGTGTCTATAACTGATCATTGAAAGTACATTACACTTCTGATTATCTATTTGAGAAATCTATATACGGTGAACAATGATTAACTCCCTATAACTTACTGATTCATCCCTATTACAAAGCTAATGAAAATATAGACAGCTGGATCCTTAAAAAAAAAAGAAAATTAACAAGTAGATCGTAAACAGAATGAACACTGCAACTTGCCATTTTTTTCTGGGATTTATACAAAAACGAAGGCAGCTACATAACTTGGTGTATTGTCTAGCAATATTATCTACCATCTTGTAAACAGGTAATACATAGGTTATAAGAGAAGTTAAAATATTTTAAATAATTTACAAAATAGTATTATTCTAACCATTTACATTTTGATTTTCTGATTCACCAAGAAGACAGAGACCCAATTTTATTACATAGCTCATTCTCAACTTGAGTTTTAGTCTGATTATTAGTTTTAAAAGATTTCTCAAAAGTAGTAAAATCTTATGTATAAAGTACACCAGAATTCCACACATTATTTCTTGTTCTTTTTTTTTTTGTTAGTTTACTAGTACATGGCAAATGCTTTTGATCTCATCATGTTATTCAATAAACATATATCTTCAGTACTCAATTTACCAAAGCACTTAAGCATCGGGTTAAGCTTTTAGTTACGTCAATGGTCTCAGTAAAATCAAATAAGTTTGAGAGTCACATGCACTGTTCAGATGTTTAGACTTAAGTACATAATTAAACACCTTGCTAAACTGAAGCAGCAGTGGGATGAATATAACCAAAAATATGGCATAGACCTCCAATTCTCTGAAAATTCATGCAATGCAGTTCTGTAGGAATCTTACAAGATAATCAGATTTTTAGTAAATGGCAAATACTTGCATCATTATACACTTTTTCATAGAACTACCAAGCAATAGTGACAACTTTCTGTTTCAGTTACATTAAAAGCAAAATTGTTTGCAACAGGATGAACTAGTTAGAGAGAAACAGATTAATATGTTCACATTTACTGTTTTTCAGCCTGAGGGGTGTTTTAATCAGAATGATGGAACAGACTTTGGAACGGGGCAGGGAATCTGTTCATCTCCTGTTGCCCTTTCCACCAATTCTTCAACAGAAACCACAGAGCAAGAAAAAAGAAGATGAAATGAAGGATTCTATGAATGCCTGTGAGAAGCTACTGAAATTCAAATTATTTGTCTTATTTATGCAATACCTTTTTTCTTTTTGTCTCAATTTTACTCTTTCATGAACAACTTGCTTTGTAAACACTCCCATTTCATATAAGTAACAAACAAATACAATAATTAAATGTAAGAGATAGCAGAAACAACAAAGTAATGCAGAAGTATTATATAAAACATTTGTTACCTTGCATTCTCCATTGATACAGATATCCAGTGAATCAGCATTGCACTGAGTCCCATCTATTACTGCAGGAGCACGTTCAGTGTAAAAATTATAGCCTTCAGCCAAGCAGTTTAATGCACATAGTTTAACCCCACCTGGACAACAAACCCAAAGAAAATAAAAGAAAAAACTTGAATTAATTAAAAATATATATGCATGAACAGATCTGAAATGTATAATCTTATCTCATACCTGACACATAATGTATACACTTTATTTTACTTCCCTTTATTGATTTCTTTACTTGACTCTTCTTTCTTACAAAAAAGATTATTTATCATAGTAATATATGGCAAGGATGGCTGGCTCCAACATGATTTCATTATGTTAATACAACCCTAATGATTATTGAACAATTTAAAGCAATAAGGATACCACTTCATCATTTGAAAAACATGAATAACGAAAGAATGTAGTGCTAGAAGTATGTTAGGGTAAATTTCAAAAACAAGATTAGACTATTTCAATTAGGAATTTAGTCCTATTACTTGAATTATACTACAGCTCAGACCACGTGATCACAATGGTCCTTTTTAGGATTTTGATCTTAAAAACTAAGAATAAAACCATTCAATCCAATAAAATACAAAAGCATAAAGGGGAACATGGACTTATTTGCTCAGGGTTTAGAGCAGGAAAAGACAAAATAATCAAAGGGCAACCTACGAACTTTGAACAATGACAGAAACATAACTAAGCTTGATTAAGCTGTCCCAAAGATAAAAAGAAATTACAACCCTCTTCCCTGCCCCAAAATACCCTTTTATTGCACAGTGCAATTATTTATAATTCGATTATCAAAGTAGTCTTTAGAGACTCTCATAAATGCTTTTTCCTCTTTCTCCTTTTCCTACTCTTCTGACCTTAAGTAAGGAAAATTTATATTGTGATTTTTTATACTGACACATCAAAGGCACTTACAGATCACCTATGTAATCTCTAATTCTATTGCAACTGCAGGTGGAGAAGGGCTCCATGTTTTAAAGTGGAGTCCCTACAGTGATGCTCACTCCCCTTCACAGTAAAACAAAACTCTGCCAGAACAGAGATGGATTTTCTGTAACATTTTCAGCAATTGACAAAAGTACAAGCTTAGCAAACTTCGCTCATTGTATTTTAATTGAAACATTCCATTTACAAATATTACTTTATATATAACAATTATATAATTTTGAAGACTTCACATATGATAACATTTTTGAAAAGCTACACCATACCTCCAGTGTAGGGTTTCCAGTTATAATACTTTCCCCGGAAAGGCATATTGTCAAAGTCCGCACATTGTTTTTCTCGAAAATCACGGTCCCCAGGAGGACATGGCTAAAATAATAAAGATGAAAAAAGGTTAATTTCTTCTGAATATCAGCATAAAAGGAAATACTTATGTGCTTATGTTACAAACAACAACCATGCAAGATACTAGGAGGTGGTTCCCTGCTTTATCTTGTGGCTCTGATTCTGACACTTGCTATATTGCTTTAGAGTTGAAGTGTATCTTTTGCAATCTTAGGATGGCATGAAGTAACTGAAGTAATTTAAGTAAAGGTAAGTTATATAACAGTTTCCATAAAACTGGACAATCAAAACCATGTCAAACTATGCTTCATAATCAATCCATCAGCTATCTCCTTATAAACACACACAAAAACAGCTGAAAAAAATTAAAACACAAGATTGTTTTGGTAAGAGCTCTAGATTCACTTGTACTGTACTAAGCAGCTGTACTGAGCTATGTTTTTAAGACACTGAGAAAAAAATTAAGACATTTTCTAGAGAGCCGTATCACCTTTGCTTACTTGTAGTCTTGATAAAAGCATTGTATTAAGGCTGAGAATGAGACTATATATCATGCTTGGTCCTGATTCTTACCAGAAATAAAAACTACTTTGATTTAAATTTTCATCACTTCGCATTACCAATTATGAAACTGAAAAATAGCTTTTTTTACTTGGAATAAGGGTAGGTATAAGTGAAATTAATCTCAGGAAAGTATTATAGGAGAAACTGAATTCTTTGCTATTTCTCACATTTTTCATCAGCAAGTTCAAAATAATAATGACAACTAATCTTAAATACACCCAGAATTAAGATAGTACATTAAACATTGTTATCAATATATGTTATCAATAATATAATACATTTACTCGTAAAAAAGATACGGTTGCTACTTTAATTCAATATTAGTGAGAATAAAACATAACCGTATGTAAATATAATAAAAAAAAAATTTAAAAAAATAATTAGCAACACAAATTAAATTTGCCTCTTTGCATCATATTCTCCAAGCAGTAGAAAGACCAGTCTTGACCTACCACAAAGCTTGAGTCCGAATATCTCTGATACTCGTCACTACACCCTATTCAGTTCCACATGCTTAGTTACTAATTTACATGGCTGGTATTTTAAATGCATCAAGTTAACATTGCAAGTTAATTAAATTACACACCCCAACACCCTCAAATGAAATCCTAAATAGTTACACTAGGACAAAACAATAAAATAGGAAGATTAGTAAAGAAGGAACACGACTTCCATATTTATACTCTTGCAATTGCAAATTCTTGCAATCCTATCTTGGATGTATTTTGAGGCAATAAAATCATCTTCGTAAACGATCTGAGCATACCCTCAACAAGTTTGTTGATAACACAATACTCGGAGGAGTGGCTGATATGCCAGAGGGTCATGCTGCCATCCAGAGGGACCTTGACATGCTGGAGAAATGGGCCCTCAGGAACCTCATGAAGTTCAAAAAGGAGAAGTGCAAAATCCTGCACCTGGGGAGGAACAACCCCATGCACCAGTACGCATGCTGGGGGCTGACCAGCTGGAAAGGAGCTTTGCAGGACCTGGGGGGCCTGGTGGACACCATGTTGAACATCAGCCAGCAATGTGCTCTTGTGGCAAAGAAGGGTAATGGTATCCTGCACGGCATTAGGAGGAGTGTCAACAGTAAGTCCAGGGAGGTGATCCTTCCCCTCTACTCAGCACTGGTGAGGCCACACCTACAGTACTGTGTCCAGTTCTGGGCTCCCCAGTACAAGAGACACATGGCCATACTGGAGAGAGTCAAACAAATGGCCATAAAG